ACCCTCCTGGCCCCGTGCCTAAAAGGGATGCCGTTCTGAGGTCCATGTTCTCTTTGGTTGGAGTGTTCCAATGGATGCCACAACTTGGCTCAAGACTCAAGTAGGGCTTATGGTCTTGCATGGACTTGCATGTACCTGTGTTCGATCCGAGTGAGAGGAAACAGGTGCGATCCCAGTCCTTCCGGCGAGGATTCGATGGCGAGGATTCGTTTTTTTCAGCGCTTATTCGAGTTGACGAGGATTCGTCCAAATATCGCTTGGCGAGGATTCGGGTTGACGTGGATCAGTGTCAACCGACGGGTGTCAGCTGCGCATGTTTGTAGTATATTCGTTGAATTGTCGCATGGCTTGTCCTGCCACTTCCATATCGGGCACATCTTGTGTTAGCACAGTTGATTAGGATGCCTCGGGCTCCTCCAACAGAACATTTTGTTGCATGGTAATTCTTGCCATTTCCATATCGGGCACATCCTGTGTTGGCACAATATAGTAGTATGCTTCGGGCTCCTCTAATAGCATAAGCAAAAAAAGTAGGAAGCCGCAGGCTCCTAAGAACGCGTGCTCGCAAGGCCCATAAGGTATTTGTTTTGGAGTCCCAGGAGATTTGCTGGCCATGAGTCGTCAAGCTGGCTTTCGGTTTAAGGTGTAGCTGTGTCCCCCCACTTAGGGTTTTCCATATAGGGACATGTCAGACCAGCACAACGTCTATGTTCTCCTGTGCGAGCGCGTCGCCCCAGAGGCTTTGGCTCTTGCCATCCAGGGCACCGACCCACTCTTTCCGGTTGGCAAGCCCACTCAGGAAGGCGTGGAGATCCACAAGAGTTTGCTGCAGGGCTTGCTCAGCGTCCAGCGGCGTTGGTATCCAAAGGAGTTGGAGCAGCCCCTTCAAAAGTTCAACCACCTCCACCAGAAGAAGCTTTTCCAAGACAAGGGCCTTCGTGGCCTTAAAGCCCAAGTCCAAAGTCTGCTGGACATGATCAGCTTCGTAAACACGAAGCGCCGTAACGTTAGCACGCAAAAGCGCCAGCTGCCAGGGATCCAGGAGATTTTGGAGACTGCCTCTGGAAGCCCATACCGAGCGCTGCCTTCTACCGAGGAACTCCCAGACAAGGCAGCAAAGCTGCCCCGGAAGTATGAGAAAGAACCCACCGAGGAGAGCTTGCAGGATTTCTGGCAGGATCTGGCAGAAAGGGAGTCGGTGCACTCGGTGGTGGATTTGTTGACTCAGACCAGTGAGCAGCCGGGGTCTTGTGATGACAAGGCGTTGGGCGACAAAGTCATCTACACAGACCACTGCTCGGGCCTGCTGGTGAGATTGCAGGCGAACTCAGTGGAATCGGCTGAAATGTTCCAGAAACCTGGATCTCCGTGGCTCTGGGGCAGGTTTGGAGATGGGGCAGAGTACCCCTCAGAGGTACCGAAGCAGATCGACAGCCCAAAAAAGCGCCCTGCCGCCGCAGCGACAAAGCCGGCAGCGATGAAAAAGCCGGCCGGAATGAAAAAGCCGGCTGTTGCCGAGGACGCATGCTCGGTTTACATCACTCAGGCGACAGACCAGTCGTACTTGCAGTTCAAGGACCCCGCCACTGGCACAAAGCGTCTCCTGTGCGGAATCAGCAAGGCGCGGCGGGCAAACCACCAGGACCTCATAGCCGTTGTGCGCGCTGAGCTCATGAAGCTGGACTTGCGTAGCATGTCCTTCGAGGAGGTCAAGGACAAAAGCCTGACCATTCGAGAGCTCGCGGTGAACCGCGGGCATGCCCATAGTCCTCAGGACAGACTGAAAAAAACATATGTCCGAGCCCAAATTGTGTCTGTTACTCGCTACGACTCGACGCGCTCTTCTGCCAACGCTAGGACGTGGACTAGAGTGACCCGCTCGAGAGCGACTCGAGACAGGAGACCCCCGGTTCGTGTCGAGGGGGTGTCAGGCCAGTGCTATGCCGTGTCTGTTGTCCACATAGGCCTTGATTTTCGTTTTCTTGAGTCAAAACATGTCTACTTCAGGAAGCCTTTGGCTCCTACATGTGTCTGCT